GTGGCCCACTATTTAAAACTCCATTCTTAACATTAACGATATCTAGATGAGTAGAAATGAAAATCTGTGCACAGAAATTAAAACGAGGCAACCCGTTTTTGTTGGCAAGCCTATTATGTAAATACTTTACCCCATTGAAGCCATCCTTCAATACTAGTACTTTAATTTTACAAACACATAAAACTAAGATTCCAAACAGAACATGATATCAAATATTGGCACTTTGACTTTTAAATTAGATCGATAACTCTCTGGAAAAGTGTATGAGCCATTATTTGTTCAGCTTTTTTTATTGAAATAAATATAGAGAAACACAAATTCTGCTTAGGATTTATGTATCCTACAATACATACGTATACAAAAGGGGGCAATCCCCTAACAATTAAACTTAATTGCTCTGTTATTATACTTTCACATCTATTAAATCATTTTCAAATTGTACAATAGGCGTTCGTATTGATAAACAGATAATAAAAAAACGTATGTAAGTTACTTAACAGAAAAAATTTATTATTACAAAATCATATTGTATATATATATAATCAGAGTTATTGAATGCAATTCATTTTTCTATAAAAATGAGGATATGCAGTTCTTTTGAAAATTTATGGCTTCCACGCGCCTTGCTACTTACCTAACTTACTTATATATAGACAATTAGACTTATCAGTAATATTAGTACACATAAACATTTATGAGCCACAGTATCACTCTACAAGCCATACGTTATACCCATTCGTGCAAAGGGAGCAGAAATATCGATACAGGAGAGGCTGAAATTTTTCGAGAGAACTACATATGTATATTAAGCGAAATTTCTTAAATTGTAAAATCATGAAATGTTGACTCCATTAAAATTAATTGATAATAAATGGCAACCATGTCAAAAATTATTTGTAAAATAATATTTGTTTCATATTCCTATGCTGACTGGACCACAAGCAATTAAAAACGTTTTTTTTGCGACCCACCTTAATGTATACGTAGTGGAGATTCTAAAAGATACTTAAAAAAATTTGTAATACTATTTAAACAGTGAAAAACTAACACATGCAACACTTGATGAACTGCATGAACAATTTAGATTTGACATCCGTCTCTGCAGAATTGTGTGTGGAGTTTTACACTTTCGATTTTTTTCATTAGCATAATGAAGCTCACACAGTTTTCGTTAATCAACAGTAAATATTCCTCCTCAAACTGAGGTTAATGTGCCAACGAGTTTTTTACAAAGTCAAGCTCGCACAACAACCATTCGTTCATTGTTTGTGTAATTTGGTCTTCCAATTTAGATATTTGTTGTTACTATTTGGCTTATTTAGCACTTGTATTTGTACTCACAATTAGTAACATTTTTTCTTGGGTTCATACAAGACTATTTCCTAGGGTGCAGTTTTTTATTCATCCGCTTAATAGGTAAGTTAACTATTTGCCCGTTTGTCTGCCTTTGTGGTTTATGTTTGTTTGTGTATTTGAGCGTCTTTTGGGCTGTTTTTTGCATGAGTTACTCTAGGTAAAATTAATCTCTAGAATGGAGTGCAAGCCACAAATTTAGAATTATTCGAGTATTTAAAACAAGCTAGTAGTAAAATTGTATATTTAGAAGACGCTTTCTAAGTATCAATCAAATCGGCCCATAAATACGGAAACATTTTTTGCATAGTTATTCATTTTCATATAAGTAATATACATACATAATTCTATATTCATACATATAATAAAATTGTAACAGGCCATTGTCTGTACATAAGAGAAATTATCGAAATATTAATATGGCTCAGCAACAAAACCCAAATCAACAACTGATTGTATTGTTTGTACGCGCCGCAATCGAAAACTAGTTAGGAATCGAATGCAGTTTTCACCGGTGTATTGCTTGAGGTCTAACTTTAAATATAGAAGAAAAACAATAATAGAGTTGCCACCTGTTTGAAAACTGTAGTTTACGTGAATTGATAAGACAAGTAAAATACTGCAATATGGCTGTAAAAAAAATATATATTTTAGGAAGGCTTACAGCCGAACAAATTTTTGTGGAAAGGTGCCACCTGTTTCAAAATTTGAATTGATTTCAATTAATAGCATAAAGTTAATATCGCAATATGGGTATCAAACTAAAGAGGTTTAGGAAAGCTAACTGCTAAAAATATTTCTGTTTAAAAAATTTGATTGATTTAAATTTATAAAATGAATGAAATATTACAATACTGATGTAAAGCAAACAAGATTTAAGAAAAATTATTGTCGAACATACATATTTTTGAAGCGAGTTGTCACAGATTTGAAAACTTTAACTCAGTTTAATTGATACGATAAGGTACATATTGAATTATTACACTTTTGGAGAAAGTGGGCGATATCCGATTTATAAGATTAAAACTTAAATCTCCAGGAGAAAGCCGTTATTCTTTCTAAATGCCTTCGAAAATACCTTAACTAAGATAGACATTTATGAAAAATGCTTCATAAATTTTTTTTGAAGACTCTCTTTATAAAGTTTTTTAAATCCATTTTATTTTTTATGAATGATGCCATACGAGTTTTGGGAGGGAATAACAACAAAAACGTACTTTTAAGGAGAAGTGAATCACGCCGGGTATTCGCTAAATATAAATCAAATCGATTCCTGCGCCACCTAACGGATTATTTCATTTTTCATATTGCATTGTCATCGGGTTATTTGCTAGGTTTGACGTTTCAAGTCTTTAGCTCATTGGGAAGTAAGTAAATAGGTGAAATATTGATAACGAAATTCCAATCAAATAAAATCTTGAAAAACTGCTTTTTTTTCATTTTTCAAATTTGTCTTACGCAAGAACAAAGGCAATGTTTCTAATTTTGCCTTGTGAAGTGCACGCAAACATCGATATAACGAAAAAGAGATACGGTCTGTGAGCTCTAATTTCCAACTCTATTGAAACGCAAAAACGCCAAAAAAAGAGAGAGGAGGGTGGAGGGGTACTTGGGCACGAAAGAGGCTTAAATTAAGGGTTAGATTAATAAAGATTGGGTTTAAAGTTAAAGATTACGATTAGGATTAAGATTACGATTAAGACTAATATTATCATTAGGAGGAAGATTAAGATTGAGAGAAAGATTAAGATTAAGATTATGATTTTGGGTTAAAATTAAGATTAAGACTACGGTTAAGACTAAGATTAAGATTAAGATTGAGACTAAGACTAAAATTAAAATTAAGTTTAAGATTACAATTAAGATTAAGGATTGTGGTTTTATGAGAAGCAGTTTTTCATGGCTGAAAACACTTGCAGGTTTGCCATTTCCATTAATAGAAAAAAACTTTTTAGCTATAATAAGTGCAAGTTTGAAGTAGTCAAGATTTACCGTTAATTTGTGATTTTTTTTTATTTGTTGAGGTTTTTTCCATGAGAAATATAATCGACGATGTTTTTATATAGAGAAAATGAACAACACCATAAACAAAAATTGCCAAAATTCAAAGAAAAGTCCCAGCTACTTCAAAAATTGCACCTCATTATACTAAAATTGTTAGTAAATACAAATATTAACTATTTAAGTATTTGTTTTCCCTTCCACCTGTTGCATTACTATAGCGAAAAGTATCGATAAAAGAATAATATTTACAAACACGTTTTCCACATAAGCGAAATCAGTTTTTGACCGCAAAAACAAAGAAAAAAAAACTGTACAAGAACTACGCAAGAAGTGGACAATCAATTGATTGGCGTTCACTTCTAACCGATCGCATACAAAAACATTCAAGTTGTTCGAAAACATGTGCAGTGGTGGAAGTGAAGCCTGGTTCCTCGGCAAAGACAAAAGTGCAAATGTGGGTGCAAACACAATCACCAATACAGACGCTGTAATTTTTGCATGGCAAAAGCAACCACACAAAACCAAACAGTTGCCTTGCTGCTGACGTCGCAACAGAACAGAGCTGCTTCACCTTCGCTGCTTGACTGCTTCGGCGGCGCTTTTGATTAGCTTTTGCATTGAAGGCGAACGCGCAGCAACGGCCGGTGCGCTGATTCTGCTGCCGCTTCCACATCTGCCTGCCTTGGCTGTAGCTCCAGCTTCAGTTGCCGCTTCTAACTTATTTGCCGCTTGACTTTACAGGTTTTGCTTTGATTTTGATTTTTCGCCTTCGGTTTTCGGTGGTGTTCGACTTCTCCCTTTCCTTATTGAGTTTCTTAGCCGACAACTGATTCAGAGTTTTGCGAATTGTTGCTGGTTTTGTTGGTGGGCTGTTTGTTTTTTTTTTTAGCAGTATCGCAGCAACGGCACTCGATCGGTGTTTGTGTGTAATTTGGCGCTTAGTTCTCTGCGTTTTTGACTTTTACATACATGGGAAGCGTGTATGTATGCGTATGTTTTGCGCTTTGTATTACAGTGCGACTTCGTCTTTGCGCTTTAAGCGAAAAAAAAACTTTATTTTATCTTGTGATTGTCGAGAAATTTTACAGTCAGTTGAGCATAAACATTCATTCGGTGCGGTTTGGTGAAACAATATTCAGAGAAGTGACTACATGCGGCTACAATACAGAACATTAACTTAGAGAACTTAGAAAAATGAACGGTGGCGTATACGCAACATTTAATATTTAGAATATTCTAAATAGAATGTGGCTCTTAGTGTGGCCCCAACAAATTAAGTGCTAACGAAATTAAGCCAATAAGAATTTAGAATATTTATTATAACAATTTACTCATACATAAGTGTTAAATGCTAAATGAACGTTCTATGTTTAAATTTGTGCTATTTAAAAAAAAAAATAAATAAAATATAATAAAACCCATTTAAAAGAAATCGTTTGTTTGAGGAATAGCAATTTACGAAAGGAGTTTAAAATGCAATTTTAGCAAAATAGAGTGCGTGTGATTGAGCGTGTTGAAAACGCAAATAATATAATTTCGATTGCAACAATACGCACTCATTTTATCGAAACTAGTTGCGGATTATTCGGATTGCCGAATTTGTGTATTTCGTAATCGAATTTCAACGAAATATAAATATAAGCGACAATTTTGAATACGAAATAAATATACATATTATAAAATAAATCGCACACAGTCAAAATGAATAGTAATATTACTTCACGTTTCGATATGGCCGCAGAGATTGCGACCATAGCATTGGACGAATTCAAATCGCACCATGTGCATCGAAACTACACTGGACTGATACAGCGTTACTATCATTTGGTCGAGCAAGATTTCGGTGGTATGTATTGGTGAAATATATAAATATGCAAAACTGAATTTGATGGCCGTGCAATGAAATTGAGGGTGAATGTGTAAAGCGTGTGTGTAAAAAGGTATAAAGAAAAAATGGACAAGCGTGTAAAAATAGTTTTTTTTTTTTGTTGCATATGTATTATAGCTTCACGAAAAAATGTTTAGACGAAAGACAAAAAAGGTGTTGAGCTTTTAAATTTAACGATATGTGCTACCAAATAAATCTGTCTGTATCAGCTAATTCGAAGCGTTTTATACACAACTCATAGCTAGCTAAAGATTGATATGAAAGACTTAAGAAGCGAACTTGTTTTTTGTTTTGATGATTTTCATGTACAGAACATACAGTTGGGTTTTCTTATTATTTGGACGTTTATATATATAATTTTAAGTTTGGCGGAATCATAGACTCATTTTCCATTTGGCAGATTTCGCTTAAAGATTCTCTTGACTTCATTCATTGGGAAGAAATTGTAAGTATAAGCCGAATGAGGCTAAGATAATTTAATTGAATATTTATATAAAAAGATATAGCTTTTACAAGAAATATGTCAAAAGTTCATTTGAACTATTATTTGAATGCGAAAAAGCTTGTGGAATTTTTAAGGTGAGATTATAATGGCGATCGATTTTTGCCCTGGGAGGATTTACTCTCGGTAGAATCTAAATCCCCTGGAAGCAAACTTCCGAGATGTTTTAAAAATGGGATGAGAGTCCATCTTTCTTTTGCCACCATTTATGAAGGTTCCCATTTTTTAGACGAAGATTTTTCCAGCGAATTAAAATCATTTTCATCGCGATTGATCGAACCCTTCATAAACGGCTCTTTCTGATACAAAAAAAAAAATATATGTATATTTTAAACAATGCTCTTCTTGAATAAAAATTTAAATTTTTTTTTTTTGAAAATCAACCTAGTTAAAAGCGGTTGCAGTGGTTTTGAACATTTGTTTTAGAATTTTGGTGGATTTTGTGTGGCCATTTTCGTAAAAAAATATTTTGTTTAAAAATATGATTGACGAACATTTTTTGTTTATTACAACTTTTTAAAATTCACTATGGAAATTTACTGTGTTCACTGAAAACGGCATAAATTCTTTGCTTTTTAAAGTACAGAACAATTTTTAATCTTAACCCTCTAATGTTCGCATCCAAAACTGCGAGAATAAATGTCAAGAATCTAATTTTTTTTTTAACATTTGGGCCTCTGAGCTATAAAAAATAATATAAAAAAAACTTTTTAATATACAACGCTTTTATAAATGGACTAAAAAGTAGAAAATAATATTTCTCAGTCCCATAGAATTTGTTTTGATAACTTTTGATTTTGAAATTTTGGCAAAAGTCATTATAAACTATCTATGAAATTGAAAATGAAAAACGTGGAGCGCATGCAATGCAAAGCATTCGATTTAATTGACAATAGTCAAACTACAGAACGTAGACCTAAAATTTCTACAGCGAAAGTAGAACTTTGAAATCGATTTTAAGCGGTCGTTATTCATATACCCACATACATACATACATATATTACTTTTCATATCAATTCAAGTGTATTACATGCGCCCAACGCTTTTCATTTTCAATTTCATAGATTGTTTATAATGACTTTTGCTAAAATTTCAAAATCAAAAGTTATCAAAACAAATTATATGGGACTGAGAAATATTATTTTCTACTTTTTAGTCCATTTATAAAAGCGTTGTATATTAAAAAGTTTTTTTATATTATTTATTTTCTACTTTTTAGTCCGGTCTGAATAAAATTTTGCAATAGATATTAAAATAATTCAACGATATTAATAGAAAGGTGCACACACATGCATTTACATATGTATGTACATACAAACGAGCACCAATTAATTTTATTTAAAGAAATGGCGTGTCGTCTATTTCCGCTGTAGCAAACGTAGTACATAGGGCGACATCTAGATGTCATCTACCTCGCCCTATTCACTACAGATGTCGCCCTATGCACTATGCTTTTTTATAGGAACTTTTCAAAGCAAAGCTTTATGGTGTCGGACACACAA